GAAGACGACTGCATTCAAGGAGTTTTATAAACCTGAATTCACCTGGAAGGCAGGCTTGGTTTGTCCTATATCCATCGAAGAAGCCATGTATTCAAGGTAATTTCGATGCAATTCAATTTCAAATTTTTGAATTTTCTTGAGCAACCTAGCTGCGCCAGCCGCAAAGGCGCGGATGACGTAGGTGCCGCTTTTTCGGAATCTGAACAGCCGTGGTGTGTGTGCGTGCATGCAGTACAACTATGACGTAATGAATATAGATACACCCAATTACGACGCGGTCGCGCAGAGATTCCTCCTTGAGGGTACGGCCGAGGCCTTTGCACTGCGCACAGCAGCGAGCATCACACGTTCCACATAGGCTGTGTGACAAGAAGTCGCATGCACTTTGTAGTTCACACAGGGCTGTGTAAAACGCATCAAATGATTCTCCAGCTTGCTGGACACGCTGGTAAAACTCTATGCGGTCCAACAGTGGATTACGTTGCCGTCTGATATACGCCTGAATGCGCTCCAGCATCAGGTCGACGTCAGCTGAAGCTGGTATGCAGATAATATCCTCTCGGATAAAACGTCGCAGCTCCTCATCGAAACACTGACGGAGTGTTGCCACTCTGGCCTCACGAGCCTGGCTGGCCAAATGCTGGCAAACACTAAAATCTCTCCAGCTTTCAACGAAGGAGTGAAAATCAGCCAGCGTCGCAGACGACAATAAGTGTGGGCAGGAAACACTGTTCACTGGCCGTGGTGCTGAGGTCTGCGAGGTGGACTGAGCTGGTGCTGAGGGCTGCGGAGCGAACTGAGGCTGCGATGGTGATAGCGACCTGCTCTGAACATTCTTGAACAGATCTTGCATCGCCTTATCACGAGCCTCAGCTGCACGCATCTGCTGCTCCATAAATTTCATCAGGACACCCATTTGAGATTCCTGCTGTCGCTCGGTCGCGGAGGACAGGTCAAATCCGGTATCGTCCTGTGATTGTTCCATTACGATTAGTCACTCTCGTCCACGAGTACGAACAAATACACTACTAAAATAATTCAACTGAGACAGAGTTTCGATCGCGGAAACTACTACTTCACACGGAAAAAACAACTGGGCCCGTGCAAACACTACAAGGTGCGGACACAAGGCACGGACACAGGAAAGAACAAGTTCACTGCGCCATGATACGTTACTATTTATTCGTGAAGACTTGGGAACGGAAACAAAACATGTCATGAGAAAGAACAACAGGAAAAAGAAGCACACTCAACTAATCCGTGTGTGTGTGCGTGCATGCAGTACAACTATGACGTAATGAATATAGATACACATCAGCCACACTTGCGTAAATATAACTGGTTTCTTCCCACTCGTCCTACGCGCAATCCCTGCACTTTACCTAAAGCCCGAACCTCAGCTTATACCAGATCTCCGTTTTTTGCTGCCTATTCTCTCTGGCTGACCCTGCCTCTATCAGTAAAATCGTCTTGTACGCTAAAGGATTTCAAGGCCAACATGAAGCTCGTGTTCTAATAACTGCCAGTTCTTCATCCACATTTGTTTCTCTTTGCCTCCAGTAATGTGTAATATTTATTTATTTTTGCTTTGTTTTTGTTTACTGCCATGGCTGGCTACCGCCCCCCTCCCTCCATATTGGCCTATATTCTCTGGCCACGGGAAGGTGAAATAAATAAAATAAAATAAAATAAAAATAAAATTACTTTGGTGTTTTGCAGCTCTATTTCGTTCCCTGACGGTAACCAAATCTAGATGTAGGAATCTGTTGAGCAGGAGAGTGACACATGTCTTCCCGAAGGCTGTCCAGGCTGCAGTGGTGATGAAGAAGACACAATCATCACCCCGAGATCGATTGTAGCGAATTGGAAAACTCATGGTGAATTTGCTTCCACTCCAAGGCAATGTCGAGGTATGAAGGGTGCGTGTACTGCCTTCCAAAGTGAAGAGGAGATGAACATGGCTGTGCATAGCTGTTGTTCTACATCAACTTACCTACTCTTGCTGGTACCGTAGTGGCATATTGCATAGGCCTTGACGGATTATGCTAGCATAATTTTTCGCATAATTCCTACCAAAATCGAATAGTCGCATAATTCGAGGCAAATTGCATACGAATCGCATAAATTGGAATAATCCGCCTGTTCGCATCAAATTCCATACAGTTGTACATGTTCTACAAGTACAAGTACAAGTTGATGCACCGGGAAGTCGTAGGTTTACGACTTTTAACATGTCCAGTCCACTACAATCAGTGACGGTCGTAGCTAGGTCGGACGGTGCGTTGACCCCGTTGAACTTTTGCTACTACAGTACAGCGCCCTCTACAAAAAATTCCCCTGTTATTTTGCACAGAACCATCATATACATTAGCAGCATATGTGAGCATAATGCGGCGTAATATGTATAACTTTTTGCATAAAAATAGCATAATTCTGCAATTTTTTCAGCAATGCGAAAAGCATAATTTCACGAAAATATTAGCATAATCCGTCAAGGCCTATTGGACCATGATGAAGGAGCGGCTATAAGCAGAAAGAGCTCATTCCAAAAGAACTGCCTTTGCTGAGTCCAGCTCAGGAGGCTCGAAAAGAACTAGAATTTCTCATGGACTCAGTACCAAGTCGATTGCTCAGCAGCGCCTGTCTTACTTCCTTGATGAAGCACGTACAGTTAGTTGTGGATTGTTGTAATGCCAGGCCTACAGTGAGCATGCACAGCATGGTGACAGCTAAGCAGTACGCACGTCATCAAGCCCAATTTCCAAATATGGAAGGTGTTATTTATGAAATTAATTATTTGACACGGTTCCTCTTCTCTGATCGGCTCGAGACATAGCCCATCGGAATCAGTGCCCAATTCTCCTTCGGATAAGCCATACTTATTTTTGGCGTTCAGTTTCCCTTTAAGTCCCTACCTTCCAACCCGGCAAATATTTAGATTTTGATAAAAAACGATTCAAAGCCTCTTTTTGTAATACTTGAAGTATAGAAACTTGTATTGTGGCAACACTGACCAACACTCAGATGCACTGCTTCTTCACACAGCTGAACAATTCTTCTTTCTTCTCAACGTTTCGGTCACTCTGACCATCTTCAGGATGAAGCAGACACGGAAGCAAGGCAGACTTTAAAACAACAAGCTGGCTAGGTGCGTGCGGAATACAGCGGGGAAAACAAAACAAAAAAACAACAACTCCCAAGCGAAAAATGACACATGCCACATGATCACAATAGGGGTGCTAGTCCTCCGTGTGAGAGACTAGGGCGGTGATAATTACATGTATGTACAACCTGTGGAATACAGCAGGGGGAGAGGGGAGGGGGGGGGGGGACACTCTCAGGCGAGAGAAGAAAAAAAACCGGCAACAGCCACATGACTACAGTAGTGTGGACAGTGCCAACATAATGCTAAAGTCTAGGGTGGTGATACGTACAATTTGTGGGTGCTAAGGTTTCACATGGATAGCTATCACTCCAATGAAACACCGCTTGGCTGAGGTATTGAGCGCTGGAGGAAGAATGGAACTAGCTGCTCCTTGCGGCACCTTAGTAGAAAATGCAACTGACAAATACATCTCTCTAGCTTCCATGCACACTTCACATACAACCAGGGCGTCTTAGTCCTTGAGAAGGACAACGTATTATAAATTCGGAACGACGCTTCACGCAGCTTCATTATAGCAACTTGTATTGTGGCAACACTGACCAACACTCAGATGCACTGCTTCTTCACACAGCTGAACAATTCTTCTTTCTTCTCAACGTTTCGGTCACTCTGACCATCTTCCGGATGAAGCAGACACGGAAGCAAGGCAGACTTTAACGTGAAGCGTCGTTCCGAATTTATAATACGTTGTCCTTCTCAAGGACTAAGACGCCCTGGTTGTATGTGAAGTGGGCATGGAAGCTAGAGAGATGTATTTGTCAGTTGCATTTTCTACTAAGGTGCCGCAAGGAGCAGCTAGTTCCATTCTTCCTCCAGCGCTCAATACCTCAGCCAAGCGGTGTTTCATTGGAGTGATAGCTATCCATGTGAAACCTTAGCACCCACAAATTGTACGTATCACCACCCTAGACTTTAGCATTATGTTGGCACTGTCCACACTACTGTAGTCATGTGGCTGTTGCCGGTTTTTTTTCTTCTCTCGCCTGAGAGTGTCCCCCCCCCCTCCCCCTCTCCCCCTGCTGTATTCCACAGGTTGTACATACATGTAATTATCACCGCCCTAGTCTCTCACACGGAGGACTAGCACCCCTATTGTGATCATGTGGCATGTGTCATTTTTCGCTTGGGAGTTGTTGTTTTTTTGTTTTGTTTTCCCCGCTGTATTCCGCACGCACCTAGCCAGCTTGTTGTTTTAAAGTCTGCCTTGCTTCCGTGTCTGCTTCATCCTGAAGATGGTCAGAGTGACCGAAACGTTGAGAAGAAAGAAGAATTGTTCAGCTGTGTGAAGAAGCAGTGCATCTGAGTGTTGGTCAGTGTTGCCACAATACAAGTTGCTATAATGAAGCTGCGTGAAGCGTCGTTCCGAATTTGAAGTATAGATATAAGAATAATAATAAATAGTTATACTTTCACACAAAAAAAGCTCGGTGCAGCACCAATCACGGCAGGGGAACCCGACCCTCGGCCTCCACCATCGCCAAACAGCCCCTCTAGCGGCTGTCTCCATGGCTGCGAGAAACATGGTGACGCGTGACCATGGTGACATAGGCGATGATCGCGCGATGATAGGCGATGTGAGTTTCTCTCACGCCGTATTTGAATTTGAAATGCGTGACGCGCACGTCAGACTGATCGAGTAACACTAACAGTCGATTGTCAGTAACTTTTACATGACTGGTACAGTTTGCTATGGCGCCCACGTCGTTATGATTGTGGCAATGAGTACGAGTATGTTCGCATGAGCCATGGCGCGCGAAACAACCATGCCAGCAGCAGGGCTGTACTGTATCATTGTATGAATGAAGACATGGACCTGGAAGAAGAACAAACGATTCATTATCAAAACCAATTTCAAACTTGGACTTCACGGCGAATTTCAAGAGCAGTACGTGGCATTGTGGCCTCTAATTTCCAAAAACAAAACCTTCTTGCCAAGCCGAACTCTGTTACCGTTCTAGTCTGCAGTGCACATGGTGTGCGTGTGTGTGATGTAGCTATCCAAGTCTGTGCTAGCGAAACCTCCGTGTGGACAGCTGCTCCAACTAAACGTTTGTGATCGCGAAGGTAAGGCATAGCCCTGGATCTAGTAGTGTATCTCTCCTCAATCGTCTGCAAGACTGGTGTTAGTTGATGTATTTTAGTTGAGTGCTGTGTGCGCTGTCTGATGTCTAGCGGTGTAATGGTGCGAGATAAATGTTTCAGACACGGGCAGCTACGGCCGGTACGCGTACAGTAGCTAGATCGACTTGGTCGATGCGATTGTTTGAACTAAGTCTTGTAGATCGGCTGCGCCCGGCGCTAGGGTAGAAGCAGGGAGTCATGAAAGAGGTTTCACCACTTCCTTGCCTGGGTAGAACCCGCTGACTTGCGAAGTGCGCCACTCCCGCTAGTTCACGCTACTCTGCTGCATGCAGCGCCCGAGTGTCGCCTTCGTCACGCTCGCGTTCCACTAGCACGCCGGTGAGCGAGCATCTGCTCAGCCCTGGGTGTTTTTACTCACTGCCCGCGCAGCCATTCATTTCGCCTTTACAGGATGTGATAAAAATCTAACCAAAATTTGATGCAGAGACTGCGGAGCGATGCAGCACTTTCCAGTAGATCAACCACAATGGTCCTTCCACCCCCCCCCCCCCCCCCCCCCCCCCAAAGCTCAAATCTCATTCAGTCCACAGAACAACATTCAGGTACGTAGCTAGGCTGTCAACAAGCGGAGCGGGTTACCTTAATTTTTATTGACAATAAACCATAATACATGTAAGGCTGCGCAGACATGTACACGTCTGCAAAACTGTGTGTTTCGATTTTCAACGCCACCCACGAAAAAAGGGGTTGTTCGCACCCTCCGAGCGTTTGGTATTATTATAATGCTCTGGTGTGAGTGTTATTGAACCAGTGTGGCAGTGAGGAGTTTGAGACACGGGGGTTTTAGGTAGGGCTCAAACGGTCACGGTTTTACCCCTGACGGTTAACTGCTAAGCTAACGGTTGGTTAACCGGTTATAACCTATAAGCCACGGCAATCCTGCGGACTCTTTTTTAACCGTATATTTGACTATACTCATTCAAAAAATGTACCCTATTCAGTACAACGCACACATGTACATTCTCTTGCATGCTCATTCATACATACTCTCACACCAAGAGACCAGATATGACCGAGTTGACAGCCCAGAAATTGCGTACGCGTGCGACAGCCCGCGAAACTGCACACTTTGCAACGACCTGATACTTGACAAATTGACTGAAAAGTTACTGCGTAACCGTTATCTTTATCGGTTAACCGTTAATTCTTCGTAACCGGTCTGCAGCCGGTTAATCGGACTAACCGTTTGAGCCCTGGTTTTAAGTTATACATGTGTCGCGACTCGCCAGCATTCCTGCCAAGCTTTGCAAACCTGAGATCGCGACAATGGTATAGTAGTAGTAGTATTCTTCTATTTTCCATCGGAAGCCTCAAAGCAACAAAGGTGTTGAACACAACTCTTATAAGAAGAGGGCCGATAACAGAGTAGAGTGGTGTGGTGTGACCTACGTGTATGAACATGTATTCAAATGTACCTGTGGGGCATGTGACTAATGCACCGCTAAAGTAAAAGTAAATTATCGTATCCGTTCCCGAAGGGAACTCACGACGGCCGCTAACACCCGATAAACCCTAGCGGCAGATGCAGCGCCTAACGGTGGGGGTGAGTGGGTAAGTCTCACAACCACTGGCACAAGTGCCGAAAACGACCCCATTAGCTGCATCCATGTACCCCTTGTGCCTGGCCACAAGTTCCCAGTTGACTGTGGGTAGCAGCACGGCTGGAAAAACCGCTCCCAGGCAGGACTTGAACCAGGTACCTCTCGTATCTCAATCATGGTCTTTGACCAACCCACTGTGCCTGCCTGGTCATGCACCTCTGGGTCCGTAATATTAATACTGCCCTCGATATCGGGACGTTTCCGGCCAAATCGGGATGGCAGGTCGGTATGCACCAGTTCGAGAGGCTGCAGGGTGGATGGCTCTACTGCGTGGATAGCATGCATGTAGGTTAGAGCGTCAGGAACAGTGTGGAAATGGTGTACTGCGGACCAGGGAGAAGAGAGTGGGTATAATGACCCGTGAGTCGTGACCCATGCAAGCTGCATGCCTGGTACTATATGCTGTTTGTGTGACTGAGGTCATGCAGCGACGGGTGCACGACCTTATTATCATGCTAAGTATCACCCGGCGCTGCACCGATCCGTCGTCTTTCGCCAACTTCAGCGCACAGCCATTGCACAACAAACACCCCAGCAGCAGCTGGAGTACTGGCCACTGTGCTTGAACCTGATGTAGATGTGATGTTTCGAAGGGTGGTAGCGTTCCTACACCTACGGATGCTGAACACTCAGTCTAACAGAGTCTAAAGCAAACTGTGGAAAATTTCCAAAGAAAATGCATGGGTACATTTTGATGGATGAAAACGCGTGGGGTTGTACGAAGCACCAACCACATACATCTACAGTAAGTATCGTTTATAAAGTGACCGGATATAATGATATACCGGTTATAGTGATAGAACACGTCAAAATCAAAATCAAATCAGAAAAAATACAGCTAA